CTATTTCATTGTCTTTACATTAAAAAAATAAAGACTTGATATACATAGGCCTATTTTAGTTTCTGAGCACAAATAAAACATGCAATAGCCTACTGTTTCCAGAATCAGGGTATAATCAGGGTATCTTCCGTCCAATCAATTTTTGTTTTAATATTGAAATCTGAAAAATGAAAAACGGGCACATATTTCATTTTTCAATTATTCAAACAAACAGAGCCTTTTGGCCCTAGGCATGCCTGTTTTATTATTGTTATCAACCTATCAAAATCTGTGTGGAAAAGCTGTGCGACGCACTGCAGCATGGGGAGAATGTATTGACCACTATCAATTTATGTGAACATACAGTCATAACTTTTGTTTTAGACAATACGCTGCATTTTAGACAAAGGAGGAACTTAAATAATATTACAGATATGAAAATAAATGACTGTGTAATTTACCTTCACAGCACATCTATTATTTTTCTATTTTGAGTTTTATTCATAGAGCACTTTATACAAATTTAGGAACTCATCTGTTATTATCCCACTGACATGGGACTATTTGTTCCTCACAGTGCTTGTTTCAGTGATTGACTTTAGTGAAATGTGAATTTGACGTCATAATTTGAAGGTGAACTCTTGAGTTATAAGAACATATCCAAACCCTGAACTAACACTTCGAACAATAAGCCAGTGTCAGCAGTATCAGAAATTAACTTTCACATAAGGGGCAACTGATTACGGAAGATACCCTGATTGGATTCTTTTGCATCCATTCGTTTTGCCTTTTTTAACCATGAGGAAAAAATGAAAAAAGATTGATTGTTGTATTTTTAAATGCCATCCTGAAAACCAAATTTGAAATTAGAACCGTACACAAAATGCTGCCCGAAAAAGTAAAGTATAGATTTTTTTAAATGATTTTTTGCACCTTTAATAAACAATTGAAAAAAAATTTGATTTTAACAGGTTTTCTTTGGCCAAATTAGAAGTAGGCTAATGCTTCTCTTGCACATTCAGTTTAGAACTATATGTCTCTGCGCTGGATCATTGATGGGGAGCTGGGCAATTAATAGTAAATATGACCAAAACAGGGTATTATTATTATTTATATATGAATAATAAAATCGCTATATATGCGCATGTCAAGTATTTGTGGGAGTATTATAGTATTACTATATGATATGGAGGCGCCCACGCAATCTCTCCATTTTTTTTTTCCTGCAGAAAGAACTTAAAATAGGCTACTCCGTCATTTTTGGATTTGCTTTATACTGTGGAGATGGTCATCAGCGTTGACTAATCTGTTGAAAAAATCTTTAAAAACGAGTAGCGAAAACGAAAATATTACCAGCACAAACAAACCTATTTGGGGTCAATTTTGGAGCAGTGGGGGGCTGAGTGACCTCAGAAAATTAGCAATAAATATTATTTTAATATCTTAAAAACCGAAGCGGCACAAACTCATTTTTTACGGCACAAACGAAGCACAAACAAACAAGAACATTTTTCGTGAATTTGGAGCATGTGGGGGGGCTGAGTGATGTCATCGCCTATAATTCAGTGTCTAATATTTTAAAAACCGAAGCAGCACAAACGAAACTTTTACCTGCACAAACGATTGAGCCTGTTTTGGGTGAATTTGGAGCATGTGGGGGGCTGGTGACGTCATCGCCTATAATTCAGTGTCTAATATTTAAAAAACCGAAGCAGCACAAAC